TGGCGCCTTCGGGTTACTTCGGTCTCCTTTTTTTGTACACACACACACATCCTCTAAGTTTTTCTGTGCATCAAGGCTTTGTTCTGGTTCCCTATTTGTGTTTCAGCTCAGAGTGATCTGACTTACATTAATGACATACGTAGCCATAGTGGTTTTTCTTCAAATGGTGGCTCTTCTAACACTTCTTCAGAATGTCAGTTTGAAGGAATCTCTCTGTTAGAAGTCTTCCTGACTTACCTCTTCTATCGTTTTTCACTTTGATTTTGGCGAGGTAGTAAGTGGAGCCATTTTGCTTATTGGTTTTCAAGCTTTCTGTATTGATCTCAGTTACCCTTTTCCGTCCCCCATTCGTATACGACATGCATTAGCTTCGCATACACTTGTTAGTTTCTTTTTGCCAACACTCTCGCGTACTGCTCATCCATCCTGGTCACTCTGGCATCCCCAACTAGTCTGATGGTGTCCATAGTAGACATTGAAAACTTACTTTGAGAGTCTGCGATTTTTGCATCATCGGTTATGCTCCGACATCTCACTGATCGTATTGGCCGCACTAGATCCTTGAAACCATTGACGTGTCTTATGTTTGACTTCATCTAGGTGAAATTTTGTGAACCGTAATCGTTGCGACACATCTAAATGTGTTTGAATTCCATGAGAATGTGAATTTGCTTCCCGTCCATAAACCAGTGCCTAGTTCATGTAGACCTAATTCAGTACGGTGGCCGGACGTGTGTATATGCATGATCCCTTTGTACAAAAACTGGAAGTCAGTCTTATTTGATGTGAACGGTTAACTTGAACAGACCTACTTAACTGTGGTCCAATCATTCTTATTTAGTAATAAGTAATTTGACAGAGTTTATAAGTTAGAAGAGGTCCGTTTGCGAAAAATCTGGACTTCGACTGGTTTGAAATCAGCGACAGATACAACATCCCAAACGCGGCAAATGCTTTACCAGTTGAGCTACCTCAGAGCCATAAGATCTGAGCTTCTGGGGTGGCTTCGTAACTCGGTTGGTAGAACATTTGCGGTGTTTGGGGATGTTTCTGTCGCTGATTCGAATCCAGCCGAAGTCCAGAGTTTTCGCAACTGTCTATTCTTATTTAGACACTTAGACGTCTAAATCCTTCGTTTGTGTTGTGATTTGGACGAAGGTTATTAGATCTGCCATGCGGATATATTGTGAATCAAGTTCGTAGCCGCTTTGGTCTTTCATACAATTTAACTCCAAACTTCTCATATGAGACGGCCCAGTTTATACGTGAGAAATGAAGATCTTCATTTATGCTTTCTGTGTTGGTGGAAGATTAAATGTTAGGACTAAGTGAAGGAAATGCCAAGAAAGCAATTCATGTAGAATTGGTAATTCAGTCTGCTGGAGCACCATGCTGACAAAAGTAAGCACATACGATAATAGATTTTAAGGGTAATCGGTATGAACTTTAACTCTGTCACTAAATTCAGGAGTCAACGGTCTGTGCATGAATAAACGTTTTACCCATTCATCCGACTTTTTGACATCAGTGAGTGACCCCTTGGGCTTTCATCCCTGTGTGGCGGGAGATCTAGTGATATTTTATCTAGAGTGTTAGAGACTAGACGTCTCACGTTTCTATAACACCTCGAGAACTGTTCGATTGTTGATAACCTCCTCAGGTAACGGTTTCTTCTGAATCCTGTACCTCTTTTAGCTATTCGTTTCTGTACGGTTCTACCTAATGGCATGCCATTCTGTGGTATTAGCGTCAAGCCTGTACGCTTGTTTGAAAGTGCGTGCAGATCATTGATTTAAACAGTGTAAAGCGGTGCTAAAGTCAGAAAGTTCCACAAATTTGCAGTGCACAATCGTGTGTTGTTTGTTCACCGCCCTGCGGTTTGTAGCGGGGCCCATATTTTCTGTCGATATTCTAGGTCTCGCTGACATGTAGATGGTCCGGTTGCTGTCCTCGCGACAATACTTCGCACTATTTTGATATTGACTTGCAACGTGTCGGTCCAACAGGCGTAGAAATGATGAAACTGCTTCAGTTGTTGGATTTACATAGGCTTCTACTTAATTTCGTTGTTAATATCTTGGGTGGCACAGTTGTGAGCAACGCTCTTATCTGCGTGAAACTTTAGTGCGTTATAAAAAGACGCGACTCTTCACAACAAGTAGCTCATACTGGTAACATCAACTAGTGTAGGGCAGGAGTCCCCTTGCGATATTTTGCGCAGATAGAACGGTCTGGAAGGTCTACCGCGGCAGGAGCGATGTTTGTTGGCTATAGCAAATTTGACGCGCTCACTTATGCCAAGGGCTGGTCTACATCTATCCTAGCGCGCCACGTAAGAATACGTCGAAATTGAGTTTACTGGTTGATCTACTCACCGTGTCATCCGGCGGACTGCAGATCAGTTTCTTACGCGCAGTGTAAAATTCTCGCCTGGCCACTTACTCAGTCTAGTTTGTCTGTTGCGATGCTGAACGTTTTGTTCTATGTGTTGTGATTGCTGAACATACATCAAGGTTGTCGATTGGTACATGTTGGCCTCGCCTTTATGTTTTTTGGGGCTCGCTACTAAGGATGCAGATTTATCTACACATGGTTATTTAGGTTGTTCCTCGCTTAATTTGAATATTTCAAGGGTTGTCGCGACCTAATCTATCTGAGACAGAAAATGTTTTGATGTTCAGACAGAAACTCGTGCATGCAATTTGCTTACGGGATGTTTGTTTTCAGTTCTTATCGTCGTTCTGGTTTGTTCATCAATTATTGGTCATCAGAAGACAAACAGTGATTTCGATCAGATTGGTGGGTGTCCTGTAACTGCGACGTCTGAAGGCCACAATTTAAAGGGTGGTTAACATTTTCCCTTTCGTGACAGTCGGCCGCCTAAACACAGTCCTCCCTTATTATCGCCAAAGGTTTGAATGTACCTAATCCTGACCGTTCCCTAACAACCCCAAAATTGGGATGAAACATAATTTCGAAAAATCTGGAATTCGACCCAACGGCATACCAACAGCATACCCAAATACCACTAATGCTTCGCTTGGTGAGCTGCGAAGTCATGTCGGGAACTCGGGACTTTCACGTTCAGACTCACTCGCCCAGCCCACTGTGTAGTATAGAATCCGCCGAATGATCCAGCGGGTTGACTGCCCAGGCAGGAGATGTCAAACTGCTTGCCGCAATCCACGAACGCTATTGCTGAGTATTGAAATTGCATTACTTATGATTAGTTGTTGGGCGGGTAACTGAGTCCAAGTGGGAAAGTTCTGGGCCGTCGGTACGGTTTCGTAGCCCAGCCAATAGAGCGCCCGCAATGTTTGGGCGTGCTGCGTCCGTCGCGGATTCGAATCCGGCCGAAGCCCAGGTGTTTTGCAACCGCATCTCGTAAATTATCATATCTGTCAGGCTACTTCTGGCTAGAATGCTGCCAGATACGTATGTTTAACTACATGCACTACTGGTATACTCCACAGTAGTCAGAGTGAAAATTCGATTTTGTGCTGCATATCTAGGCTCAACAAAACGAACGTTGTGAGCGCATGTGCACTCTTGGTTGATGTGCATCAGCTACTTAGTTCTGTCACTTAGACCAAAATTTCCGTGTCCTCCAAATTGGTAATACATCCTGATCTGATGCCAACTGCCGTTAACACGTCGATCCTGCTTGGCCACCGCCATGTTAATAACCCCAGCGCATTCACGTTCGCATGTGCTTTCATTTCGCCGGACTTTTCACAGTTGGTAAATTATGCCAAGACCGCTATAAAGAAGGTTTGCTCAGGGTTCTCGTCAGTTACACGCACGAACTGACACTCAAATGGATGAACGATTGAGTGCGTGCAAGCAACTTAGTTGAGCGCATATGTAAATGTAATTAGTAATCGGCTAGAAGGAGCAGACTGGTAATGGGCAAATAAGCCGTTGATTCAAAAGCCATGCGTGTATATTTACCGACTGAAAGTGAGGTGAATTGAATGCAGCCGATCGATGCACTAGTAAAGCAAGAGCAATACGAACGCAGTAGCGGAATCCAAAAAATAAAGGAAAAGGGGCATTACATGGAGAAATGGGGGAATAACTGCATTGATAGTCGGTATCTGTGTGGTCGGGCTCACTGTTATCTCCATCTGGACGGCATGTTATTTTCTGCAGGCTCGGGCCCCCGGGAGAGCAACACTGAGGGCTTTTGTGAGCTTCATTGTGTGACGCAGTGGACCTCCTATGATTACCTCATTTATTGGATAGTAGAGCTGAAAATGAAAACAAAGTCGCTTTCCTTTGTTCAGAGCAACGATGTTTCCCTGAGAGAGGACAATGTGATTTGTCTCGACGAACTACTAAATATAAACAATAGTTTTGTCAGGTGGAACATCTGTAAACAAAGACTGAATATCTACAGAGTTCATCGGTTCATTAGCAGAGTTGATATCGTCTACGTCACCGATCAATTCGAGGGAATCTCTAATGGACTGCATCTGAAGTTTTAGTCTAACCGGAGTTTTAATGGCCAACGTGTGATAAGTAGAGTTTGTCGTTGCTAAAGTCGGCCTAAGCGGTTTCTCAGACGTTCGCCTTCCGCAGGCCCTGAATTCGACGTGTTTATGTGCCACACCACTTAATGTTATGTCATATCATCGACCGCCTGCACCCTCGTGAGTAGTTGCAGATGTTGTCATACGTGGTCTCCAATCTCATCGTCACCATCAACTGTCTCTATTTGCTGAACTTTTCTCTGGTTATCTACATTTGACACCTGCACACACTCATCCTTGTCTGAAATGATGGCCTCAGAGCTCTTATCCAGCCAAAGTCTCAACACATTTTTCATCGATTTTAGTCGTTTCGTGAAAGCACATTGACCACTGGTTAAACTTACGATAATCGCACATGACACATCAGTGGGTTTAATTTTTAGCTGGCCCAGGTTGCTAGCACTGATTAGCGAAAAATCAGACGGTTGTTTGCCATGGTTCTAAAATTAGCCTCAACACAAATACTTCATAATCAAGACCGTGACTAATGCTTCTAGTTGCAGCGAGTTTGGTTGAACTGAAGAACGGCTCAAGGTGGTCTACTGAAACTGATTCTTCAGCCGAATTCGTTTGTAATTTCCAAAAGTGATCGGTGTAAGCCCCCTTCGCACGATCGATTATAGCATTAGCAAGTGTATACAGCACAATGCAAAGTACTGAACGACGGACAACTGTGTGTTGGTGACCACTTAATCATTCGCATTGGTTTAGCTTCTATATAGCCAATGGCACTACGCTTGATGTAATTGTTGGTCACCGTCAGTTTAATACTTTTTATGAACTAGAGAAGTTGACAAAAAATTCGGTTTTGCTGTGTCCACTCACTTAAAATGATATCGTCATCAGTTCACAAGCGGACTGGCATCTCAAGCTAGCTACATAGCGCAGCGAATTGCAAGTCTCATCAGTAGATCCTTATTCTGAAAACTCATAACGGTTAATTACATATCGATAGGCGGACAAAACAGTTAGACCACGGAGAGTGGCGGGTGTACGCATTTCGTGACGACCCACCGATACCGCACTTATAATCGCGAAGCGGTGTATATGACAAATAATGGTGTAGATTAACACAGGTCACTAAGTACTGCGAGAAGTAGTTTTCATGATAAGCTGTTTATGTTTGCCCACAGCTTGTTTAAGCCGATTGGTTGCGACTACTTCGGCAAAACGCAAGTGTTTAAATAAATAGGACTCTGAATGCACATGCTGTATCGATGTCATTTCTGGTAGTCGAGGTTTGTCTAGTGACAGCAGAAACTGGCTGTTTACATGTTTTAGCAACAAAACCGTTCTTCGGTGACACGGTCCTTCGCAACTATTCAAGCATATGCTTATTCAGTCTGGAACCCAGGAGTCCCACGGTAGCTGATAGTTTAGGATTTTGGGGACGTGGAATGTGATTTCACAACAGTATCACATTCAAAGACAAGGAAGCATTGTCGTACCCATTGGTTTTCGGAACGGACTTCTTAAATCGGAATATTTTGATGAGCCACCAGAGAAATATCATTTGTTTGTTAGAATTTGTGGATAGGTAATGCAGGT